GAGGTGCAGTGATGATGTATACATCTGCATATTTTCATGACTCACACTGGAGGCTTTTCTTCATTTTTTTTAATGATGGTTTTATTAGGCCTGAAGCCTAAAAATTCAACATTTTCTCTACAGGAAAATCAGTCAGACACCAGGGTTGGATAATAATTAGGCTATAAACAACTCTCCCCCTCCCTTCTATTTATTTTAACACGATCAGTAAACGCTAGCTCTGCCTTTGCACACATTACACTGTCCGAAGGAAGAGGGGAGGGAGTGTGCCACTATGAATACTAATGAAGGGGAGAGCTCAAACAAAGCTTGCGAAACACAGGCATTTCCATGAGAATATAAATAATAAAATGTAAGTTTCTGTTTTCATATACATCAACTGCATATGCCTGCTTCATGTTCACCCGGTGTACATTGCTGACATATGTTTTTTTTTAAATACTTCTGCAAAGGTAGAAATGGGCTTTAAAGGAGAAGTATTGGAAGAGTAACATATACTCTTCCCCATCTTAGAGCCGACATGGGACACTGCAGCTGTCATACGCTGGCTCTATACCAAAAGCTAAGTGATCATGTTAGCATTAATCACTCCGCTCATGCTCTTTTACTGTCAGGATCCAGAGCACCCCCAGGTGGCGCTGGAGCCGGGTCCTGCAGTTCCTGTGCTCGCCTGCGGGTGTCTCCAGCAGCCAGGAACTGTAAGGAACCTGCAGCTCCAGTACTCACCTGTGGGTGTGCCCCAGCTGTGACTGATCATCCCATCATCTGGTGCTTCCTGGGAGGGTATTTAGGCCCTCCCTGCAGTCAGGCAGCTAGGTCAGTATTGTGTTGCTAAACCTGACTGATGCCCATGTCCTGAACCTTGCTTCCTGAACCTTGCTTCCTATCTGAAAACCTGTCACCGACCCGGCTTGTTACCCGACCACTCTCCGTTGAATCCTGTTCCTGTACCGCGCTGCCCTCCTGTTGACGACCCAGCTTGCACCTGACCACTCTTCATCAATCCTGTTCCTGTACCGCGCTGCCCTCCTGTTAACGACTCGGCTAGTACCTGACCACTCTTCTTGTATCCCGAGGCCTGCTGTACATCTGCAGGCCTGTTACCCCTCTTTGTTGGGTTTGTAGTTTTGTTGATGTGGAACCAATAAACTGTGCATATAACCCTATCCTGTGTGGGCATATTAATTTGGTCATCCTGCGTGGGTACCTGCATGTGGTGTGAGAACACCCGTGCAGGGTACCCTGACAGAATACTGACCCACAACGACCAAATTGACCACACAGGGACCTGCAGGCTTTTGGGGTTTTCTGTTTTCCCTTGCCACTGTCGAGATGGATCTCGAGGGGATAGATTATTATGCGCTCCTGGCGTCCGAGGTGCCGCAGGTTATGTCGCTGGTGTGGTTTTTGAAGGATGATCCTACTGGGTTCATTGGATATTACTCTGAATGTTCACGGGAGACCTTGTTGGAATGTATTGAGGCGGTTCAGTCCCTTATTGACCAGGGGGTCTGTGTGGGAACCTTTGCCAAACCCTTGCTCCAGAGGTGGTCTGACATACGGTCTAGACAGTCTAGCCCCTTTGCCAAGGCCCGATCAGGGTTAACCATGTTGCCGGTGACAACCGCAGAGACTTTTGTTGTTCCTGATGAACAAATCCGCTCCCAGTTTTCCGTAGCAACAGTACCCGTCTGCCAGTCAGGTACACCTGTTCCCAAGGCAGCCCAGCAAGACCCCTCATGTCTCTTAGCCGAGTATCGGTCAGAAGCTGAAAAGCTCGAAGAATGGACAGATTGTTCGGATGATGAGGATTGGAGTGACTGCTCTGAGGATGAGACTGTGGATGACCGTTTTAGATACTCAGGGTTCGTTCCAGT